TTTCAAAGAATTTTCCATATCCTAGCGAATAGGGCAGAAGTAGAAATGTAGCTGGCGCATACATAGCTGACGTGGCTTTGATTTAAGGAAAAATTCAACTTTTGTTGTGCGTCTCTCCAGACCGCAACATTTGGGTGGGTCGCTTTTCCAAATACATTTTTCCACCAGCAAAAAGGGGAAATGTATAAGGTTGAAACTGGGTGGCATGGAGTTCCCTGAGTCTACATTACAAAACAAAAAAAATTTTCGTTAAAACCCCTCAGGACACTTTTTTTCAGTCCTATTTTCGTGAAATTTTTTCTTTCATGCAACGAAACAGAGACAGAATATTTAAACTTCCTTTAGAAACACCTGTTTGATGGTTGAGAACAGGAAAAATCATATTTTTGAAATATGTCCCCTTAGCGTTGATTATAGGAGGGAAGTATTTCAAAATGTATTCTCCACCCTATAAACAAAAAGGGACACAAGGAAAGATTTCAAGTTAGGCACACAATCATGGAAGTAATGATTTTGATTTTTTTTAAATCAAGACTTTCGTCCCCATATGTCACGTATGTCAATGGAGACGTACTTTAAATACGTGCTTCCCATTTCGCAAAGAATGAATGAATTAATCACTATCCAAGGTAATGGAGCGCCGAAGGTGGGACTATAGAGAGTTTAGGATAAAGAAGGTGTTATATTTATGGGGCTGTGATTCCACTCTTCCCTTATCCTGTGCACTGCTGTAATAACAAGTTTCAGCATTTAATGATTCCCTGAGTCACATATTATTTTTAAAATATATGCAATAATTTCCTGCTTTCCATATATATATTCATAGATTGCATAATAAAAAGTGGAAGAATGGTAAGACAACTTGATATTATATCGGGAAAGCCAGTACTTAATAGCATTTGAAGGGTGCAGGGAATAAGAGTTCCATCTAGAGAGAAATCTTGTTATTGCAACTGCGGGATGGTCAGGCAAAGTTACACATGGAAAGTAAGATGTTAGCTTTGTCCAAAGTTGATGTCAAGTACTTCACGTCAGATGGAGTGACGTCTAGTTTATGTAAAATACATGTACACTTTGGTGACGTAAATATAGAAATGTAAATTTTACGTAAACTTGGTGCCATTTTCATGGCAATCAGAAAAAATGTACATTGTTTGCAAAAAATTGATATATTGTACTGACTCCATTAGCTGGTGGTTAATGAAGTCCCTTTTACAAATCTACCTAATGGTGAATACATTGTCCATAAGAAATACTTCATTACGTAAGTTCAACCCTACTGTGTCCAATTCCCCCCTGGTGATTTATTAACATTGAGGGCATACGCCATCTTCATCATTTTTTAATTAGTGACCAACTTGGAATTTGAATGGGGTTATGAGAATTAGTACTCTTTTGTAATCCCCGCATTTATCGCCAATAATCTGTTCTTCAAATAGTAACCTTGCGATTTTGGTAACGAACAATTTCGTGCCATTTACTATTTTATCTTGAAAGGAGAGGTTTCTTATAAGAATACAGTGTGCACCTTTTTTCAAAGTCAATGATCGGTAACTCAGTGAGTGTGTGTAGAAGATCGGCATTGAAATGTTTAGCATCAGGATTTTCTTTATCACAGACCAGCGCACCAGCTCTCCACAAGTTGACAGACTCTCCATCCAGTCTCTCGAGTACTGAAATATTGATTTCTTCCATGCTATTTTCGTTCCGGATAAAATACCCTTGTATTGCATTGATCTGGGTTGCTTAGGACAGATATTGGATATGCGAAATTAATTAGCGAGTTTAATGTATCGACACTGTTTATGCGAATCAATGGTATCACATGTAGAGTAAAGCATCTTGGCGGGGTATCTAAGCGTTTGGGACCATTGTGTGATGCGGTAAGAAGAAGGCGCAGCGACTGAGGAGACCTGACGCGGAGAACAATCCATACGTGATTAAACAAAGGTTCATCATCATAGCATCCAGCTTCTGTGATGCTGATCTCCTTGTACAGAGGAAATATGAGCATGGTTTATTGTGTAATGTGCACTAAACCCGAGATTATATCGAGTTACGGCTAACAGATTTGTTAAGGAAAATCTTAACTTTAGTTTTGAGTACGATGAGGACCTCTCGGTTTCAGTATCTACTGTATACTTCTGGGTTGGATTTTCATTTATTCTGAGTCAAGAAAACTTTACGTAGAGATGAGTGAGTCTTTAAATAATCCGTGGAAAAGAATATGATTTTTACTCTATTTTGATTACTTCTTTTCCAAGTAATTTCATGCGATCACTTCTGGCTTCATGTGCTTCTTAATATTGGCTGAATCAAGAACACGTCATCATTTCATTTTGTCAGGCAAATTCTTATGCGTTGTAATTACGGCGTGAAATAAATGTGGAATTCAAGGTCCCGAAAAATGACAGAGGAAAAAAGGGAAATTCAAAGAATATTTTCGTCATTTCTCTTTTTGGATACAATCTAGAAATCTAGAAAATTTCTAGAAATCGTGATGAACTATTCACTTTTGCATTCTTCGATGATGGATGTAAATGCAGTCGGGAAAAGCAGCAATGGGTGTGAATCCAATGACCTAGTCACTTGATGAAGTTACTTGAGTGGCCAACAGGTGAACTTTCCAAAGAGCGTTATTCTTGATCCAAGTGATGAATCTGACAAGGGTGAAAGGAATATATTTGGTTCACAAGCTGATTCACGTAAATGAAGCTTGTTGTCAATGAAAGAATACAGAGGACTCATTTCGATCTCACCGATTGATTCTTGTGAAAACACCAAGTTGGCCGGGCTTTCTATCAGAACACTTGCCTTTCTCATAAAAATGACTCACGATCCCTTCTACCGTCCAAAGGGAAGCATGGGTAAGGAAAACTATGGGACTTNGACCAACTTGGAATTTGAATGGGGTTATGAGAATTAGTACTCTTTTGTAATCCCCGCATTTATCGCCAATAATCTGTTCTTCAAATAGTAACCTTGCGATTTTGGTAACGAACAATTTCGTGCCATTTACTATTTTATCTTGAAAGGAGAGGTTTCTTATAAGAATACAGTGTGCACCTTTTTTCAAAGTCAATGATCGGTAACTCAGTGAGTGTGTGTAGAAGATCGGCATTGAAATGTTTAGCATCAGGATTTTCTTTATCACAGACCAGCGCACCAGCTCTCCACAAGTTGACAGACTCTCCATCCAGTCTCTCGAGTACTGAAATATTGATTTCTTCCATGCTATTTTCGTTCCGGATAAAATACCCTTGTATTGCATTGATCTGGGTTGCTTAGGACAGATATTGGATATGCGAAATTAATTAGCGAGTTTAATGTATCGACACTGTTTATGCGAATCAATGGTATCACATGTAGAGTAAAGCATCTTGGCGGGGTATCTAAGCGTTTGGGACCATTGTGTGATGCGGTAAGAAGAACGCGCAGCGACTGAGGAGACCTGACGCGGAGAACAATCCATACGTGATTAAACAAAGGTTCATCATCATAGCATCCAGCTTCTGTGATGCTGATCTCCTTGTACAGAGGAAATATGAGCATGGTTTATTGTGTAATGTGCACTAAACCCGAGATTATATCGAGTTACGGCTAACAGATTTGTTAAGGAAAATCTTAACTTTAGTTTTGAGTACGATGAGGACCTCTCGGTTTCAGTATCTACTGTATACTTCTGGGTTGGATTTTCATTTATTCTGAGTCAAGAAAACTTTACGTAGAGATGAGTGAGTCTTTAAATAATCCGTGGAAAAGAATATGATTTTTACTCTATTTTGATTACTTCTTTTCCAAGTAATTTCATGCGATCACTTCTGGCTTCATGTGCTTCTTAATATTGGCTGAATCAAGAACACATCATTTCATTTTGTCAGGCAAATTCTTATGCGTTGTAATTACGGCGTGAAATAAATGTGAAATTCAAGGTCCCGAAAAATGACAGAGGAAAAAAGGGAAATTCAAAGAATATTTTCGTCATTTCTCTTTTTGGATACAATCTAGAAATCTAGAAAATTTCTAGAAATCGTGATGAACTCTTCACTTTTGCAGTCTTCGATGATGGATGTAAATGCAGTCGGGAAAAGCAGCAATGGGTGTGAATCCAATGACCTAGTCACTTGATGAAGTTACTTGAGTGGCCAACAGGTGAACTTTCCAAAGAGCATTATTCTTGATCCAAGTGATGAATCTGACAAGGGTGAAAGGAAAATATTTGGTTCACAAGCTGATTCACGTAAATGAAGCTCCAACAGTTACTTTCTTATGTCTCCTGAGTAAAGCTAGAGTGGCTAACTAAGAACACTTTTGTGGTTCAACCGGCCCGAAAGATAGTCTTGTGAACGGAAAGAGTATTTTTACTGAGTGCTAGGGAAGTACCGTCCAAAGGGAAGCATGGGTAAGGAAAACTATGGGACTTCCGGAATCTCCTGGGCACACTGTTTTGTAATCTGCATTGTAAAAATCAGCATAATTTCTTGTGCTTGGGAAGTCATAGGAGAAAATTCAACAGAAATTTAACGATCAACGAAATTGTTCCCACTAAGGACAATTAATTTCAGCATTACATACGAAGTATGTGCTGGCGCATCGTCTCTAGGCTACATCGAAAGGAAAATAAAGCATATATATATATTCCTTGGCTACTTATATACCATTAGCAGATACATAAATGTACCGTGCAAGAAGCTATCCTAACCTGAATCCCACTGAACTATCAGTAACAAAAGACGGCCGAATTGTTGAATCTTCCAATACTGTAACCAAATGCTCTCCAATCAGTGCTAAAACTTCACACCGTTCGATAGTAATTGCAAGCCGAAAGTAGCCAGACTACTTCCCAAACTTGACCAATGTGCTCCAGACATAAGCGAGCGTTTTGACTGAAATATTACTTTCAGTGCAATTATGCCAATTGAAATGGCTGACAATAACCTATAATGCAAAGTTGCGCAAACTTTACAAAGTGCCCTTTAGAAGCTGGGTGAGACCATACCGTCAGAGGATGTCTTTTGATCATGACCAGCACAGAACATGTTTGAGGTGAGAGAACGCGTGAAATCATGTGACCCTGTGATGTTAGTCGTTATCAGGCGACATAGAAATAACCTGAAGTGGCCTTCAAGCTAAAGGCACTCACGCCAACTCTCTAATAGGTTAGGCAGTTTCGGGGTTGGCCGGTGGACGAGTATTTTGGCAACTTTTATGTTAACGGAGCTCTTAAATCAACGTAAGTTACATTAGACTTGATGTCTCACCCATCCTTTATTTCCAGGTTCAAGGTTCACCTCAGTGAGATCCGGAAGACATATTAACTGGACCCGCTGAGACAATATTGAGGGTTTCGCCAAATGCAATAGAGCGATGTCCGAATCGTAGTTCTGTAAGCTGAAGTCTTCATGCACGATAATGTGGGACACCTGGGAAGAGATTGTTCCAGTTCACTTATCGCTTCGAAAGATTACGAGAACATTTTATGTACTCAACCTGATGCATCTGCACGAATTCGTCATCCTTGGAAATATCTCGATGGTGTTTCCCAAGGTAGACACGGAAGTCTTTAGGGAAGCGAGTTCGTATGGTGTTCTCGACGGTAAGACAATGTGCAGCAGTCAGCACCCATTCCTGCATGATGAGAGCTCCTCCACATATCACATCTCTCTTAACAACATCGTAAATAGCAGCCTGCCACGGCCAGTCTCCAAATTCCGATGTGATTCCACCTGCCACCAACCCCTTTTGATTGTCCCTTCTTCCACACACTGGAGAAAAATCAACAAATTGTCCCATTTTGAAGTACCAGAGGTCCTATAGGTAAACAAGAGAGTCCATTGATGAAACTTGTTTCCACCTGCCACCAACCCCTTTTGATTGTCCCTTCTTCCACACACTGGAGAAAAATCAACAAATTGTCCCATTTTGAAGTACCTCTCCAGGATATCCATTTGTTCTCTCAGGTAACTACTTTGAACGGACCGAGCGTCACTCCTTAGGAGAGGCAGGTAAGAGGACTAGATGTTTGGGCTATTCCGAAAGGGAAGTCAAGCATTATAGCCTTGCACGCGTATTTAACGACGCTTCCATTCACATATCTCCCATCGTTGACGCATTGGGTCTTGATACTTCCGATATTGTGTTGCGAGATATCACAAGATAATATTGCAAATGATCCATGTTCAATATCGTGAAGAGCTCCACAACTGACGTCATCAACAGCTGGAGTATTGGGAGCACAATTTTATTTATTTCCAAATATGTGAAACAGTGTATTCTCTAAGTTTAGTAGGGAGAACAGTTCGTACACTTTTTAAAATAGAAGCTCAAAACCCTCTTCACAATTAACGCCCCTGTTTTAACTACAGAGGAAGTGATAGAGTAGGACGTGGAAAGGTGAACTTTCGTACGGAGAACTTTCAGACCATTGATACGCTGATGATCATACTTCTTTCATGAGGTAAAATGGAGTCGCTGTCGCATCACACTGCATCAATTTCTGAAGCAATTGCTCGATGTTGCGGGCACGGTGAGTATGAAGGCGGCTATTCGGGAATTTTTTTAACTGTAGAGGTTGGTATAGCGTCTTAGTCTCTCTTTTCACTACGCGACTGACGCGCCTTAGTACCTCATGTTGGTAGCGTCTACACGAACATCCCAGAATCCATCTATTCACTTCCGTTCCATTCAGCACATCAGCTTTTCAAATTGTTGTCCAACCAATTCTCTGGATGTGAGATCTGAATTTAAAAAATCACACCTAATGTTACTCCTAAATAATTATTTCTTAAAGTGTCACAGAAAATAACTCCTTAGGGATTGACATTGGGATTGATTTGGATAATGTTGCTCAGAAATACCCCAGATTCTGACTCCCTGATTCTTCCCGGGGCACGTTACTTGGGTGTACACATTCACCATGCTAATCTGTGATGAGCCGCCTCTTCTACATATAATTCCATCGATATGTAATAAGATTGGACATGATTCCTCCAAATCCCATTCTTGTCATATAATTTTTTTTTAAACGAAGAATTGAGCATTAGTGTACTACTCCTTCGATGCACACCAAATAACTGAATCACCCCAACTTCATTTTTTTTTTTCTACCTGTATCGCATTCATTACTTCCTATTTCTTTCAGACAATGAATATTCTTTGGGTGGGGGGGGGGGGGGTGTTCGTGTCAATGTCTTATTAAAATTTGAAATATGAAACCATAAAATGTGAAAAAAGTGACTTAGATCGGTACCCCAACCCACGATTCCCCTCTCACTCATCTCTCTCTCTTCTCTCACCTCTTCTGGCAGTGAGTTTTCATTAAAAACCTTAGATATGCTTAAAATCCAAGCGCGATCAATGAACTAACCCAGCGCATCACTTGGAATGTTGCTGGAGTTGACTTCGACATGTGTACAACCGTCTTCTGTGACTGCTCGCCTCAGTCGAGTAATCAAGCATGGGGTGCTCAATATCATGGCTTGTAATTACAGTCATTTTTTAGCCGCAATAATTTGTCTTCAACGTTGCATTTAGGTCAACTAGAGTACGCTCTTACATATGCGATAAACAGTATGCAAATTAATGACATCCTTCGCAAGTTATAGCTGTTCAAAATAGTTCATTGACTTTTGACAGACGTTGTATATTAGACAAACGAGTTTGTTTGCCCTTCGGGCAAAAAACTCGCTATGGTCGCGCCTTCGGCGCTCTATTACCTTGGAACTGAAAACTTGGAACTTGAAAAAACTAATGAATTAATCATTATGATTAATTCATTAGTTTTTTTGCGAAATGGGAAACACGTATTTAAAGTACGTCCCCATTGAAATACGTGACTTTTGGGGACGAATGTCTTGATTTTTATCAAAAACATTACTTTTATGACATCTAGTGTGCCAAACTTGAAATCTTTTATTGTGTCCCTTTTTGTAAGTTTTGTACATTTTGAAATACTTCCCTCCAATAATCTGCGCTATGGAGACATATTTCAAAATTAGGATTTTTCTTATACTCAGCCATCAAACAGGTACTTCTGGAGAAAGTTAAAATTTTCTGCCTCTGTTTCGTTGGATCGAAAAAAAATCTGGAAAATGGGACTGAAAAANTTCATGAGGTAAAATGGAGTCGCTGTCGCATCACACTGCATCAATTTCTGAAGCAATTGCTCGATGTTGCGGGCACGGTGAGTATGAAGGCGGCTATTCGGGAATTTTTTTAACTGTAGAGGTTGGTATAGCGTCTTAGTCTCTCTTTTCACTACGCGACTGACGCGCCTTAGTACCTCATGTTGGTAGCGTCTACACGAACACCCCAGAATCCATCTATTCACTTCCGTTCCATTCAGCACATCAGCTTTTCAAATTGTTGTCCAACCAATTCTCTGGATGTGAGATCTTTTTCCTTAAATCAACATCGCGTCAGTGATGCGTGCGCCAGCTACTTTTCCAAGTCTTCCCGGTGGACTACATGCCCACAAAGTTTCAATATTTTGCGTTTGTCCTTTTCGCTGGTGAAAAAACATACTTGGAAAAGCCGACCCACCCAAAAGCTATGCCCGGAGGGCATGCCCCATGAAAGCTGAATACTCTTTCAGTTCAGTAATATCGTGTCACTTAGACGTTTGCCAAGTTTCACCTTTCCATTTCTGTCCAATCCGCCACAACAATTTTTTTTTTCAAGACAAAGCACCTCGAAAAAATTCCCCCAGGGGATGTATCAAGACTTAACATTTGTATTTAACTCTTTGTCTCTGTAGTCACATTTATGCAAAGTTTCAGTTTTCCATGTTCATCAGTTTAACTGATGCAAAAAAATTACATGTAAACATCTCCCTTTGAAATCTGTTACCCCTCCTGTAAATGAAGATTTCAGCCTTAAAAGGACGTCGTAGAGTTATCCAACAATACATGGTTCAAAGTAGAAAGGTGTGATGGAGTTATGCGATCCTGTTTTTCTTTTTATGAACTTTTCAGTCGAGACAAAAAGACGCCCCCAGTGCATGGATCTAAAATTTTTCATTTTTCCTGAAGTCATCGTTTCGGTAGGCACGTCCATGCTAAGTTTCAGCTTTCCATGTTTCTACGTTTTACTTAAGCAAAAATAATGTTATGGAAGGGGAATTAGTAACGAGACATGGAAGGCAAAAAACGCGTAAAGAAAGCCCGGGAATAGCCGGGAATTGAACTGGTAGGTTTCTTATTGCCAGTCAGATACGATACTACTACACCACCGAAACCAGCACATCCTGCTGTTTCTCTAGAATGCCATCCCCTGTCACAAAATATATTGAAGAAAAACATTTCCCCCCAAAATATGTACCCCCAGAGCATGTACCTCCAAAGTGGGATTTTTTTCTGAACTCTACATCCCAAAAGGTGCATGTGTACCAAGTTTCAGATTTCTAACCCTTCTAGAACATGGTTTGAATTATGTCAGTCAGTCACGATCGTCTAAATATATTTCATTATAGACTCATTTTGTGATGGTTCAATCGACGAGCTCTCTTATGTTTGCTGAAATCATTTTCATTGCTTTCATAGTCATCACTCTCCATTAGTTCTTAATTAGATTGATATCGGGGATATTGAAAGGCCATTTCAAATTCTGTGTGTTGGTTCACATTAAATAATCCTTCATATAAGCAGGATATGAAGTTGCAGTACAGCTGCCTGGGGGAAATGGGCCTCATTTGTTTTTCCAATAGTAGAACCTCCATTTGCTTTGCAAGGTGCTTCAACTACGAATTTACTGTCGTAACATTGGACAAATGAAATCACCATTCTCTTGACAATGTTTCTGCTAAATATCAACAGCTTCCGTAAGATCTATTTACACGATCGGGGGATGACTGACTGACTCACTGAGTGACTGACGCTGATTGTAACAATGTTTTTAGAGAAGTTAGAAATGTGAAACCAGGTAGAAAAGTAGCATTTGGGATGGAGAATTCAGGAGAAAAATAAAATAATATACTTACTAAATACGTACGTAGGGCATTTGCCCTAAGTACGTATTTATTTAGGAGGAAATTTGAAAAGAATTTATATTAGTTCAGCAAAACGGAAATACATGGAAAGCTGAAAGTGGATATGAATGTGCCTGTTGCTATGGGGCGTGTCTTTCTCCAGCCGCTGGCAGCTGCTAGCGAAAAAGCCGCCTTGGCTAGGCCCGACCACGTCATCGAATGACGTCACTCTTGGGCAAGCAGCAGGCAGCGGACGTGCTCTTCGTACGTGCTCCTCATCGGAGTGATAAGTCTTACTATCACCTGACGAGGGTTCAGTCACTCGAATTTTCACTGCATCTGTAAAACATATGTCTACATTGAACTTACTAATTTGGGCTGGAGATATTCGTCTAGATTCAAGATTCAAGATAGCTAGTGATATCAAGAGGCGATTTCGCCCATTTCGATATCACGTGTCGAGGTCGAGCATTCCTTAATTTGAGGGTAGGTCTAACCTTCTTAGGCTGAGGCTACATATGAAAACATTTGTGGGAAAAACGTTTTTCGGGTGTTTTCCAATGTGCGGTAGTGAAAACACCTGAAGAACATTTTTCTCTGAAAACGTTTTTTGGATCTTCTTCAATGTATGGTAGTAAAAACACCTGATGACAGAACCTCGAGAGTATCCTCCAACACGTCCTCACGCTACGAACGCTCGACCAAGACTCTTGGTTTCTTTAAATCGATTCCGCTACATGTATGGCTATTTTCGTCCAATTCAGTGCTGGTCGAGCTTACGGTCTGGTCGAATTGGCGTGGAATGACCCACCTATTATTTTTGCACTGTCCACCATTCCAGCAGCAAACTTGAAGGTTTATAACCTGAATAAAAAATTATTTTATAACTATGGGGAGTTCCTAAGTTCTAAAAAAAATAAAATCCCTACACTTCTTTTGGTATCCCCTGTACATATATATTCTCTTGTGTGGGGAGTAGAAAAGGGAAGGGAAAGGAGATGGAGACATACACAGTGGAGTTAGATGGAGGAGGAACTAGACAGGTTCCCCGTGCTGCCATTTGCTTTTCACCAGATCAAGCAAGCCTCCTGCGTGAGACTCTTGGCCTCCTGCTCCCTTCAAATGCCATCACAGCTGCTCTTCATGGATCTCCCATCAGCCTTGGTATCCTCACTTTATCTCCATAGAATTATCCCTTCATGCTAGTGTTACTGTGATTGATGCTTGCCACCTTTTCAACAAAATGTATGATCAAGTCATGCCGCACAAATTGTTGTAAGTCTGTGCATTTGCCCTGAGACATATTGAGGCAAATATTCCTATCTTTGTCCCATTGATCTCCTTAAATATCTAAATCTGAATGGGATGACCGCAAATTCATTAATGGATTCTTGCCTCAGTAATTTCAACATAAAATTTGTGGAAGTTAAGTTTGTGTGTAAGTGTAAACCCCACCCAAGCAATATCAGGGGAGAAAAATATGACCTCCAAGGGACACCATGAGGGGTGGCTGCCTCCCCCTGTAAAATGCACCTCTGCATGAGGTTGCAAATCATGAGGGCCATTGACCTTCAGATGCATCTGCAACTAATTCTTAATACACACATTATATTATATGCAAGGTGTCCCAGAAACTCCGCCCCAAGTTTTGTACATCATTATGTCTTTATTTTTTCTCTGATGGAAATGAGTTTTGTATCATTTGAAAGCCTAGACCTTTCTTAACAACTGCTGTTAAATCTGACGGTTTGTGATTACTGGTTGTGGGGGTTTCTGAAAGAGAATGTGTATGCTACAAAATCCCCTATCATCTTTGACCTTATCAGCGCCATTCACTTAATCTTAGTCTTCGTCCAAACGGGGCGAGGTTTCTGGGATGCAGGGATTAAAAGCAGGGATTCAATCTTTTTGCCAATGAAATTTGTTCCCATTCTGATCATGACACATACCGCATCACCGGGGAAAGTCATTCACTGCTTTCTGGCATATGTCCAAGCTTGTGACATTCAGTTTGGTGGAAATGGCGCTGATGAGGTCAGGGATGTTAGGGATTTTGTGGCATACACCTTATTCGAGAAACCCCACAACTAGTAATCACAAACCGTCAAGTTTAACAGCAGTTGTTAAGAAAGGTCTAGGCTTTCAAATGATACAAAACTCATTTCCATCAGAAAAAAATAAATAAAGACATAATAATGTACAAAACTTGGGGCGGGATTTCTGGGACACCCTGTAGGTGGCCAAAAAGTTCTCATGTTGGCATGTTCAGACATAACCAGTTTCCCAGCCTCCCGGGAAGAAAACCTCTTATTT